AACTGCTTCCCATCCTACAGCTCCATCAGCTTTGTGAAGTCTTTTGTTTTGCTCAAGTTCAGTTCTTCTTGCAGACATACGGAGAGATAATCACATCCCTGCTTTTCTCTCTTCTTTTCAACCCACCATGAACCTTCTGCTGCTGTCCTGCCTCATTTGTTTCTTCCTCTTATTCTCCTCATTAAATAAATTTCAGCCAGATTGTCCTGTCAGATGAACAGTAAATTAATATATTGTAGCCCTAACGTCAAAAAGGAAAAAAGTATTTAATTGCAATTACTTGTGTTCTTATCTCACCACAATCAGTTTTGAAAGGCTATTGACTTAATTGGGGACAAGGCATTGCTCCCTCTAATTTTGTGCTGCTTCTTAATTTCCATCAATAACTTCCTGTCCCCAATTTGTGTGGTGAGAAGTTGTACCAGTTGGCCAAAATCTTCCCTCTTGGTTGATGTAATGGTTAGGGAGATTTTGGGGCTGTAGGCCAGCAACCTCCCTGATTGAGCTGATACAGGGAAGTACCACTTCCAGAAACTCTGCAATATAACACAGGAAATCACCCAGAAAATGGCTATAAAATGCAGTCATTTAGCTCTGACATTTTTTTCTTAAGTTCTGAAGAGAAAGCATATGGAGATTATCTTTCTGGTTTGTATATTGAAATCCAGGAGCTCAGGGGCAGAATTGTAAATGGTGCAGTTATGAGTTTATTTTATAACTCATAGGTATGTTTCCTTACCTTGTTATATGGCTGCTTCTAGGAATCAAATATTTAAGTTTGCATTGCACTGCTTTTGATGTCTGGAAGCCTTTGTGGTTTTTTAGATGACACTTCACATCAGGTTTACAGTTCTTCTGGTCCTTTAAAGGAAAGGGAGAATGTGATCTCGTGACTCTCAACAAGGCCTTAAAACTTTGACACTCTCTTTTCCTGGAGGACAAGATATATTCTGGTCATCTACAAGCCTGTGTTTTTCAGTGGCAGCAGCTTTTGGTGCTGTCTGGAAAGCAAGGCTACTCACTTTGATGGAGAGAGGGTTTCTGTCCTCCCTGACTTCAGGAGAAAGAAGGAAAACAGCACTTCAGTTCCTTTTTTTCTTCAGCATATACACTCTGTCATTATACAATAAACATGTTGTTCCCTTTTTCTCCTGAAAAACCTTTTCCTTTCAGTCACTTGATGCTGTGGGAGCATTTCTGGTACTACACACTGCAGCATCTTTGTTCTGCAGACAGCAGTGAACCAGAGGCAACACTGCGGCTGGATTTGAAGCTCTTCACTGGGAAAGGGAAAAGCCAAACTTTACATTTGTATTTTAATGTGTGAGGCATGATCTAAAGCACATCACAGACTGGTTTTTGTTTGTTGTTTTCCAGTCATACATCTTAGCTTTGCCGTGTTCCCATGACCTGATGGAGTAGAAATGAGTAATTTCTGTATCTGGAGGGCTTTTGCTCCAGCACCTCATTACCTGCCAGGAATGTCTTAATGCCCCTTGTGCCATTTCTGGTTTTCCAAGTGTGACAAGCAGCTTTCTGCATTTCAGGGCATCAGAGGTCAGCCCGTGCTGAGGCAGGTGACATCCCACTGCTGGGGGACATGGAGTTCCCTCTGTCCTGGCTGCCCCAGGCTCCAGCAGAAGGCAGGTGCTGGCCTGCCCCTCCTGGGCCTCCTCTGCACCTGAGGCACCAGGAGCTGGCTGATGTCTTTGTGCCCTGTTTGTCACCCTGAGACTAAGCCAGAGGAGGGAGAGGAAATTAATAAATGTTAATATATGCTGGTTTAATTGAGAAGCACTGTTTTCATCAACTGCTGTTTGAAGAACAGGCTTAAGTCTGTTTGTAAGCCCAAACAAATGTTGGCATTTTAAAGCTGTTGCTCAAATACAGGGATCTTGCTACTGCTAAAGAGGTTTAGAGCTATGAGCCCAAACTCTATGGATGAATAATGTGGCTGGGATTCAGTAAAGCCTATTAAAGATCATATTTTTCTATTCAGTAGCTTGAGCCAAGCTTAAGCCAAGTCAGCCTTCAAATCCTGACTCGCCCACCTTATTTTGCGTATCGCTCCAGCACCACAGCACTCAGCATTCTGTGTTATTTGGAACAAGGGGAAGTGATCTCCATCTCATTCTTGTTTTCAAGAGCATGAATGTGTTTTTCCTTCAGACCCTTCAGAGACTTCACCTCTGGTTGAAGAGAAGGAGATTGTTCAGCTGTTTCTCCTGTTCTTCTCTCCATATCCAAGGCAGAGGAGTCCTGGGGCAATGATTATGACATAGGGAGAGTAGGATCCCTGAAAGCAGAAGTGAGACTTGTGCCCAAAAATATTTGAGAGGAGTCATTTTGCTTTCTTAGGGAAATGGGCTGAGACATCGTTGCATCCTGAGGCTCATTTGACATTTGCCTTAGAAACATTTTCAAAATTGTTTTTAGGTGAAATTAAGGTCATTTTTGTAAATTAATTACACTTGAGACTGGGAGAGCAATGCAATTTAAAAAGTTATAAACCAGAGCAGCCTTTTTCAGATTGGTGGGAAAGCCTGAAGGCTGCAGACCTGTTTCTAAATGTAGTCATGGTTACTTGGCTTCTGTCTTACAGAAAGGTTTGTGCCTAATCCACCAGGCAGGTAGGAAAGATAAGATGTGTTGACTACAATGTGTAGCTGGAAGACCTTTAAGGAGTGTGCTTGGGGAGGGGATGCATATTAATAAATAAATGTTACTTCACTTGGTGAGTTCATGCACAGCAACGTGCATGCAGAGCATGGCTGCCTTTTTCTGCATGCAGACCCAAAATAGGGTTGTTTTGTCAGAGGTGTGGTGCTCTAGGCACAAGAATTAGGATGTCCTTGAGTTCAAAGCGAATTCCCTGCTTGAAAGCAGGTTATGAGGGTTCTTGTGTTCAGGTTGATTAATTCTTGTGGTTTCCTATGGAAATGGCCCTTTCATTATTTCATCGATACCAAAATTAAAGCGTGGTCCCCACTCAATAGCAGAACAATGAGCTCACTGTGACACACCATATAGCACTGACCTTCCTGAAGCAGAACAGCAGATCCAGATCTATGATATTAGGCACAGCTTGCCGATTGTGCTGCCTGAGATCCCTGCAGACTGGGTTTCTCCAGCTGAGATAACCCTGGAAAAGCAGCCCTTGTCACTGCCGAGGATGCTCGGAGCAACGCACGCATCTGTGTAGTGCCTTCCACCCTCCTCCCTGCCTGAACCAGGGTTTGTTTTACCCTGCTCAGGGTTCCGTGGGGAGTGAAAACCTTTCAGGAGTGAAGCAGATGATTGAGGCCGGGCTGGGGCTGCCCTGACTCGGGCTCTGTGTGCGCACAGACCGCTATTGATTTGGGCGGCACAGACGCCGATTCACGGCGAAGGGGCTGGCCAGCAGCACCCCTGGCTGGGGGTTCTGCAGGCAACAATCTCCCCTAGAGAAAAATGGGCCACTTGAAAGGCATTTGTGTATCAAATCCCAGCTGGGATTTGATCAAATCCCAGGGGCTGAGGAACAGAAACCCGAGTATGGGGACTTTTTTGTTTCTAAAGTGCACAAGAAGGGAGTTTTTGTGGCTCTGGGCAGATTAATTTCACTTTTTTTGTTGTTTGTTTGGTTATTTTTTTTTTCCTCCCACCCCTCTTACTAGTTCATTTGGCAGCATTAAATCAAAATTCAGGAAGCTGCTGGCTGTGCTCATGCTGTGTCAGGTGTTTCAGACAGCCTCCGTTGTGACCAAGAGCTGTTGCAAAAATCTAAACTGGGCAAAGCACTGCTGGAAGCCAGAGATTAATGGCATTTCCTGAGTAATTTTTGAGTAAATAATCCCACGTGTTTATTTTTTTTTTGTCACAAATAGCATCAGGAAACCTGAGAAGATATATCAACCTCATTTCCTAGGTGCTTTGACATCCAGGCTACAGAAAAACAAGGAGGTGGAAAAGCAATCAGATGTGCATGTTCCTTATAGAGAAAAAAACAGTTTTCTTTCTTTGGAATATATTTGTTAAGGAAATATTCCTTGCACATAAGGCTCATAGGGCCAAAAGAAAATATTTCCAAAAAAGATAAGAGAACTATTTTCATAGATTAATTATAGGATCACACAATGGTCTGGGTTGGAAGGGACCTTAAAGCCCATCCAGCTCCAGCCCCTGCCATGGCAGGGACACCTTCCACCATCCCAGGCTGCTCCAAGCCCTGTCCAGCCTGGCCTTGGACACTTCCAGGGATGGGACAGTCCCAGCTTCTCTGGGCACCCTGTGCCAGCACTCTCACAGGAAGGATTTCTTTCCTATAGCTACTCTAAACCTGACCTTTGTCATTTTGAAGCCATGCCCCTCTGTCCTGTCACTCCATGGTCTTGAAAAAGTCTCCCCTTGGCTTTATGGTAGTGGCCTGTAGGTACTGGAAGGTGCTATAAGGATATTTGAGCTGGTTTGCTTATACTTGTGGGTCACCAAAAGCCACAATGCTCATGTATTAATTTTGGGGTAAGCAGAGGTAAATTAGAGGCTGGGGATGGCTTCTGTATATGGCATTCACATTCTCTGAACAGAGAGAGACAATTCTCTCTCCCAGGATTTTTCCTGGGAAAGGCAGTGAGAAACCTCAGAGAAGAAGAGAGAACAATTCTTATCTCTGTTCACTGCTCCTGGTTTTGCACATGTGGAATGTGTTATGGAGATTGTTTACCTGAAGGGATTTTTTAATTGGACACAGGTGAAAGTTGTTTTGAGTGATTAGCCAATCCCTCAAAGCTGTGTCTGACTGTCTGGGGAAAGTCAAGGGTTTCTCTACAGTATAGTATCTCTTTGGTGTAGTTTTAATATAGTATTAGTGTAATGTAGTATAGTTTTAACAAAGCAATTGTTCAGCATTCTGAATCATGGAGTCAGATCCCCCCTGGCTGGGGGATCGCCTGCTTCTACGATATCTGCAAGTGCCTGAGGGTGATGGGGAATGGAAAGAAGTTTCTGCCTTAGGAAAATGCTGATGGTGCCTCCAGATGAAAGGATGCCCAGGACCAGCTGGAGAAGGTAGGATTTGCATTGCTCACTGTCCACAACATTCAGGAGAACAGGAGATTAAGCACTGGCTTAAATGAAGCAAACAGCACGGTGTGGACCCTTGAAGCAAAAAACAATAAAAATTTGGAGGCTGGGAAGGATCCTTTCCTTTTAGGGCTGCCTGGAGAACCTGTGGGGTCTGCTGGGCAGGCGTGGTGAGGGAGGAAAGACCAAGAGGGGGAGAGAAGCAGCACTCTTGAGAGGAGTTTCAGGAAAGCAGAGCAATGTGCAGTATTTGAGGGTTTGGGGAAGAGGGAAGTGAACATTAGGACTATAAAACTCAATGCCTACTATGAGCTGCCTGCCACAAGTGCTCTGCAGAGAGCTGTGATGGTTATTTTCCCCGTCTGTTTTTTAATTTATTGTACCAGAAGCGGGAAGGCAATGCCCAAAGTCTAATGCAAAATAAAACAGAGCAGTTCTTGATTGCGCTGCATAGTCAAGTGGAAAAATGAGATAACTGGGACTCCAGTTTAAGGCCCATCTGAGCCAAACCCAAGAGGAGCCTGGCTCCAGGTTGTGTGGTGGAGCCATTGGGGCTGCCTTCAGGAGGGGAGCTGAGTGAGGTTGCTCAGCAGCCTCCAACAAGGAGTGCTGATCAGGAAAAGTGAACTTTTTGTAGACTTTAGAGTGGCTGTGCTGTTTTGAATGTACCTTACGTGTCTGAAGTTCAGCTGCTTGTGATGGGCAGAGTCCTACAGCCCGGCCTTACAAGAACTGCTGGGGTTCATATAAGATTAATGGTGCTGCTGTCAGAGGTATCACCCAGGCAAAGAAAAATTGGCAGATGGAATACTGGATTCTTTTTAGAAAGGTTGGTAAAAAACCCCAAAACAAACTGCGTTTTTTTCCCTTCCTCCAGGACTGAATTAGTCAGAATGCCTGGGAAATAAAACTGAGTCACGGTGTTTACTCTCAGTGAAAAGTAATGCTCTCTCTTCCCCTCCCTGAGGTGATGCTTTTACAAAGGGCAGTGCGTGAGCACTGCTGGCTCCTTTGGCACCTCCTGCTCCCGGGGCGTGGGAATGTGCCAGCAGGAATGGGCTAGAGGAGGTGGGGGCTGCTCTCCCCTCTGATGGCCTCCCATTGTGCTGCACCCTTGGCATCCAAGTGGGGAAAGAAGGATGGGAAGAGAAACTGCTGGCTGTGGCAGCTCCTGTTAGACTCAGAGTAACATGCTTTATTTATTGGTTTTGCTGAGGATACAGTCAGAAAAAGGAGGCAAAGAAATACCATCTTCCAGAAGGTTAGAGATGGCTGTATGTGTCACTGGAAACCAGCTGTGCTCTTGGAGAGGCTTCCAGCAGGAGTGGCCATTCACCCACCCACCCACCCTGTGGTGTTCTGGAGAATGGCAGCACATCCCTGTTCATGAGGCAGTGCTGCACTGAGGTCTAAAACCTTGCTCACACATGAAAAATTTGTTTTGGTAGTTGACAAGCACCAGCAACACCCGGGGAGTTGTGTTAAATTCATGATTAAGAGGTGGCATCAGAACTGGGCTTTTTGGAAGGATTTCTTTGTCAGAGAAGTGGTGCAATTGCAAAGTAAATGAAGTCAGAGCACAGGGCAAGGTGCCCTGGCAAGGACTGGATGATTTGTGAATCTGACTCCTGAAAAGTTCTGGGCTCCCTAGCCCCTAGAGAGAACCAGGGTGCTGTGCCTGGAGGGCTTCTGACCACCATGGGCACTTGTAGGTCAGCCGTGTGCTCTCCTTGCAGGAATCTTCCTCTGCCCCCAGGTTAAATTGGTGCCAAGCTGTCTGCAGCACATCTTGGCCTCTCACATGTTGTGCAGTGTTAATTTAGTCTGTGGAGAAATTCACAGGAACAAAATGCTGTGTTTTGCCTGGATTCTCTCTGAGACAGTTATCCCTAATTCTTTGGCAAGCCAGCTTGCAGAGATGCTGAATCCCAAGCAGTGTGAGGCAGGTATTCCCCAGGGATTTACACTTCCAGTATCACTCCTGTTCTGAGCACCCAAATGCAGAGAATCCTGAACACATTATGCAACTGCTGACCTTGATCAGGTTCAAAATTATCTTAAACGTTAATCAGTAGCAAGCACCACTTTTATTGTGGGAAGTATTTTATGTGGCATTCAAGCATGATTGCTGTAGTCTGGAGTCTGCCTTTGACTTTATTATGCTTTGAGTTTTCCCAGTTAATTTATCAAAATGACATGCAGCTCTGGGGGGCAGCTTTGTGGTGTATGATTGACTAAATAATGCTCTGCATTTCTGAGAGGCTTTTAAAGTTACTGCTTTCACACCAGGTGTGTTTGTTGTTCTAATGCAGGTCACTTCCTCTCCTAGTTGTGCTATCCTCCAAGCAGAGCCCAGGAGAAATACTTTCTAATGACAGAAAGTGGATTGCAGGGTTGGGCACAGTCTGAAAAAAGGTTGTTTTCTTACCCAAATGCTACTGAGCCAGTTGTTCAGTTTCCTTTTGACACACACATCCATTAACAGATTACATGGTGAGTTTTGGTAAGAGGTTTGGAGGCAGCCATCATTTTGTGAAGTGGCTGTGGGCATTGTAATATTCTTTTCACTCAATTTGAAATTCACCCATTGCTTTCAGAAGAGAATGAAATAACTTTTTAGACCGTTTAAGTATCACTCATGGCACAGTAATTTTAATTGTTGTCAGTTCCTGGCTGCTAATGAAAGAACGTGAAATTTGAGTGTCCTGTATCTTTGTGTTTCAGAGCAGTGGAGGGAGGGCTGAAGAGGAGATGGAGCCTGGGTGGTTCTGATTAGCGCAGCAAAGCGAAGATGCTGATGCTGTTTCAGGATGGGGCTCATTTCTTTTCTTTCCAGGGAACATTGGCATTTCTAGTTCATTAAGTTCCAAAATAGGATTTTAGGAAGAAATTCCAGTTTTTGACAAGTCGTTTGTCTTTACACCTAGGAAAAGACCGTTTTCTTATTGTATTAGGGAATTTGGCAGGAGTGCATTCTCCTTCCCCAGTCATTCATAGTTGTTGCTGCACTTTGCTATGTGATGATACAGTTGTATGTAGGGATTTCTTCCTTCCAAACCTATTTTCTAATCTTTTTCTAGCAGCACACCTCAAAAGAGAGTGATTATTTCAGGAACGTGCCAAGGGTTAGGTAAGGACTGAAAGGAGTAAGACAGTCAGAGAAGAGGCATCTCAGTAACAAAAGAAGAGGCATCTCAGAAATAAAGTAGATTTTATTGGGGGAGAAAGTGGAGAACGGGTTCAACGATGTGGAGAAGTGGAATTGCCTGAGCCACAGATTGGTTTTTTTTTTTCTCTAAGGTAAAACTCAGCGCCTGGCTTAGGTCACGTTGTGTGTTGTGTGATCTGTTGGCCAGCACCGGCTGCGTGCCTTGGGAGGTCGACACAGCTTGATGACTGGGTGAACAGCTGTATGACTGCAACCATTCCTATCTTAGAAAAGCTAATGAAGCAGCTGTGAAGGCCTGAGAACAAGGTTGAGAGGAGAGGCTGTTCAGGGAGAGCGATACACTGAACAATAAAGGAGCTCAGGGGAGAGGGACATGCTGCTTTCAAAGCTGACCCAGAGCAGGAATGAAGTGCTGAGAGTGCTTGGCACTGGAACGTGATTGTTTCGGTTTGGAGATCTGTGGTCATGGGTGAGGCCACTTGGAAGTGAGACAAGGTGATGCAACACCATCCCTGCCTGGGTGAGTACATCCCTCCCGTGTTTTGGAGCCTCAGCACATGTACAAACCCAGAGTTGCTATCACTTTCAAACAAATACCCTTACTACAGGCAACAGAAAAATACAAGCTCAGAAAGAATTGTGGGAGTAGTTCTTGCAGACAGTGCACAGAGGTTTAAGCTGGCTCCAGTTGACACCAATAGGAGGGGTGTAGTAATTATTTTCATCCCTTCTCTTAATTGCAGATGCTTTTTGCAAATCTCTCGAGGGTGGCATCTGGTCCTGGTAGGAGGCTCTAAAACCGAAGGTTTTCTTTACTGCCCCTGTGCACTCTGTGGATTCTGCTGAATCTTGCTTGCCTTGTTGAAAATGGGAGGTTTTAATTCAGTGAGTGTCGGATTGGTGATGTAATCAGAGGAGCTGTGTCTTGCAGCAGTCACACAAATGTCTCTGACCACTTTCAAGCAAACTTTTCAATGTCCGTGCCTGTTGTGAGTCTAAAAGTCAGTGCCCTGTGACATGCTCCGCTTTGGCTCCTGTGGCATTTGCACTGTCTGCAGCTGCTCTGGCAGATTAGATTGTGTGTGACTCAGGCAGGGAGTGGGGCTGATCTGACAATAAATGTGTATTTTAAGTGTAGCTGCTGCGTTGCATTAATGTTGTTTATCTTGCGATGGCCGCCGTGCGTTGGCACATGACGCGGGTGATATTAATGATGTGGGAAAAGGCAGGGCTTTGCAAGGGGCTGTGCTGCTGCTAAGTCATATGAAGTGGAATTGGGGTAGTATCTGGTCTGCTGATAAAATAAAGGCAGCTAATTGCCAGCGCTTTTGTTTTCTTAGTCTTACTTATGAAAGACTTTTCTCAGCTTGGCTAATGTATTCCTTTCAGGAACTTGTGTGCTTTCACACACAGGGTAACTTGTGTGAATGCATTTGCAAGATTAATTTTCACTTACTCCCAGGAGTATTGGGGGAGATAAAGCAACCATGTACATTCCCATTATTTTTTGGGCTATATTTGCCCATTGGGCTCTTCCTGAGATGCAGAAGCTGTAGATAACAAACCATGCAGCACGTTGTACAAAGTTAGCCTCTTCCCACGTACAAGGCCCATTAGGAAATTTTCAACTATCATTTATTGAGACAGGAAATATATTCTCTTTTTGCAATAATTTATTGGCCAATTTATAAAAGTTGCTAGTTAAATTAGTCGGAGTGGGAGGACTGAAAAATGGGGGTGAACAAGCAGCCAGCTGAAAAGCCAGCCCTTCTTGCATGAGCCATGGTCCATACCATTTTTCAAGCAGGAACATTAG